CCTAACTGAAACATCTAAAATGGATCAGCTTGATGGGTGGCACATTAAAAGAGTGGTTAGTGGAAGCTTTTACGGAAGGTTTTCTTCTCATTCGTCACATGAGGCTACAAAACATGTGTAATACAACAGGTTTCATATACAATATGCAGCAACAAACTACACACTTGTACACTGGAACACAACTTTAAGAGTACTTCTCTCTCTCTTTCACACACACACACACACACACACACACGCATGCACGCACACACACACACACATATTAGTCAGACTGGCTGTAATCAGAGAGCAGTGTGTTTTTCTCAGCAGCGTAATTCATCAAAATGACGGCTGCCAATGAGCCTCAGTCAGCCAGACAGCCCTGTCTAATCAATCATCAATCTACCTGTGCTTTGTTTCCCGGTCCTCACTCACCACCGCCATATTTTCACAACACACTTACATTCTGTCCCTGCTCCATCACATCTGAAGGTTGCCTGCAGGAGTCATTGCACAGAGCAAGGCACTAACATACACCTGGGTTAGGGGTTTAAATCCACAGCAAGCCCTTGGTTGAGTTCATTGGATAGTATATTAATTAAGGTGTTATGTGATTCAGTTGGGATGGGGGCACTGTAGTGACAGATTACCTGAAAAAGTATTTGATTTATATAGAGTTTGAGTTTTTATACCTGTCAAGAATTTATTCCAGCAATGACCAAAGAATGAATGAAAGAAAGCATGTGTACACACAGAAAATGGTATTAAAACAACTGTGCAAATCCCTTTGGCCTTGTTGTTAGCAGGTTCAGTATTGATATGAGTGAGGTATGTTATTTATTAGATCTAAGGAATTGCTCCATTTGTTGCATGTATAATTACCAAACATTGAAGCTACCTCTGTATGATTACCTCTGATCAATATTGCTTCCTTGAGTCCTGCTTTGGATAAAAGGTGTGTATATAAAGTGGGTCAGTCAGATAATTTATGAACTTTGGGCTTACACTCTTATATATCTGTCACTTTGTCCAAACTTTGCTAATACTTCATGTTTTCCAAAGCACAGGACCATAATACTTATTTTCCTTCAAGCATGACTGTTTCAGGAAGGATCATTGCCTCCCCTTTTATTCTTTAGATTTTTTTAATGCACAAAGCTCTGTTATTCAATTCTTTTTCTAAGCTTCATTATAGAGGCTATGCGAGAGGAGAAATGGAATGCAGCAGAGGGTCTAAGAAAAATACCATTTTAAACCATGTTATTGGATAATGTCCTCTGCTTCGTGCAACATTCAGTTCTAAGCAATGTGATATACTATATGTGTGTTCTTTTTTATTTATTTATTTTTTTCTGCCTCTTTATGGATCAATGTTGACCTTAAACCTGCAATATGACAGCCAGTATATTTGGGTGCTTGGATAAAATCTTCGGATCCAGAGTCTTATCACTGTGCCATAAAGGTCAACTTTGTACTTTGTCTTCACTGACAGGTAACTATGGAAATGCCTATTTTATGTCCCACATATACAATATTTCTGTTTTCTCGAGGCTTTGGAGGTGTCAAGTTGCATCATAAAAAGGGAATATGAGCTGGTGATATGTTTACCATTTGTGCTTGACCTTTAAAGGCTTTGCATCATGCAGAAATGTTATTGTTGATGTCAAATTATACCTCTTAGCTCACTGAGATCTGTATATTGATTTAACTATTTTTTGTTATTATTTTGAATTGATAAATTCTGTTACATGAAATATTTGTGGATAATTTGCTATTCCATTTGAGGCTAATGTCTGATAAATTTGATTGACACAAACAATAACCTCCCCAGAAGTGTAGGTCAAGGTTAAAGTTTATTTGAACAACTTGGGAACGAAGCCAGGCTATGAATCGCTCCCCAGATAGGAAAATGTGACAGATGATTGACATGCTATTAGAGCCAAACACTTAAAGAACACTGGAGTTCTCAGACCACCTGCAGCACTGGTCGGAGCTTAAAAGGAAACTTGGAAAATACTATACTGAAGAATTGCTCTTGATCCCAAAACTTGTATGACACATGTAATATTGTAAAAAGAATAAGAGTTTGAAAGTTGTACAATTAGTAATCGAGAATATAATGTACACATGTAAAATCACTCTTGCACTATTCTTGTGTATGTTTATCCATGGTTTCAAGAGTGTTGTGGTGGTATTTTGGGCCTTGATTTACAGCAGAAGTATTCAAACAGCTCATTACAGCCACATCCACAGGTGAGCAGTGAAAGCGAGTGAGAGAGAGAGAGAGACATGTCCAACGTGAATGATTTATGAGAATGTAAATGAGACTGTTGAATGGCTGAAGGACAGTGCAGCACACACCAAATCCACACATACTCACAAGCAATATTCCTCCGAGTCGAAGCTGCCAATCTGAATGTCAGTTTACCCTCCAATACAAAACTTCAATAAACATGCATTTTCACCAGTCAAAGGCTCATGGTGGAAATGATCTGTTTACATTAGAGGAAACAGAGAGGGTTGAAGCTGCATTTAAATCGAGTCATTTGTGAGGTAAAAAAAAATAGACACATCAGGTGGATTTTTTAGCATGGACGAAAACACAGAAAGGAAATGCATGAATTTGTGTTTTCATATGTTCCGTTTAACAAAAATAACACATCAGATGTATTCTTAAGCTTGTAGATCATTGATTTGACCTGTAATATTCTCATTACATTACTTTTAGAAATGCAATTATTCATGTAATTCTTTTTTCATATCAAGTACTACCAAAGAACAGATTTGGCTCCCCGAATATCACCAGATCAAAATCAAATAGAATTATTCCAGGTCTAATCATAGCTAAACAGTGAACTACATCAGTTACAGTGTAGCTCTAAACAAGAAATTATCCAAAGGAGGACAAAAAGTGTATAAAATAAACTGTAAATCAGGCAAACCCACATACTGAAGAGCTGCCCAAGTACCACATGAAGGAGTTGGAATGCCACCAGTAGTACACACACCACAGTTTGAGAAATATTGATCTATACAGTGGCTATACACAGTTACAAATCCTTGACCATTGTTAAGAGCACATATCATACTTTAATAAATTATGGGAAATTAGATAAAACTATTTAAGTATATGAAAATAAACAATTTGGCATAATGCAATATCAGCTGTACTGTTAATTTGTTGTGAATGCTGCTAATGGTGGACTACACAAATTTTAAAAAACATTTTATACTAAATACGATTATGGAATGGGGTGGCATGCAGCTATAGGAATGTGTTATCTTTGGGTGGGTGACCAGACTCTTTGGTATGTGAGAGGTCGGCAGACACATGGGGTTAGAGGTAAGGGGTCAAAGTTAGGCTTTGAAGTGGGGGCAAAATACCTAATCCCCAATGCTTCAGGGGCAGAAAGATGAGCTATCTCTGCATGAAACATCTAAACAATCTAAACTAAACATATATATACATATATACACACACACACACACACACACATATATATATAACACGGTAGTCGTTAACAACATGTATTTCTTGAAAGCCTTGATAAATTAAGACACCAGCATCTGGAATGCCATTATGTAGAACTTTGAGGGATTAGGATACAGAGCTCACTTATTTGAGCAGGCAAACCTCAAAACGGAAAAGCCTTTTGACCTTAGAGCCAACACACATGTTTAGCGGCATCTCTGCACCAGTACTTAAAGCACTTGTATTAGTTTAATGCGTTGATGCTTACTGTAACATGCAGGGGCCTTATGAAACAAAAGGTTAGGCCCCTCAATGGCCCATGTCAAGGATTACTTTTCAGACAAATTCTCCCCTAACAAAGCTCCCATTGTGCTCCAGCAAACCCTTGAATTAGAAGCGAGTGCAAGTGCACGCTTAACTAGGCTTGACAGGCCCCCACTTCACCAGATGCCTCCATATTTGAATTCCATTCAAGATATTAAAGAGAAATAGTGGTCAAGAAATGCAGTCACTATACTATCTATACAGACTCAACATATTTAAATGCAAAAAGGAGTTTGTTCTTAATCTGAATAAGGATTAGCCACAACACACCATTTGTCTTTTAAGTGATTATTTGGCACCAACCACTTTCATATTCATAAAAGAAAAAGAAAAAAATGCATGAGAAAGCAATTTCTCTTCCCTTTAGGAAAAGCGTTCTTTGTCAATTTTCAACATGAACATGAGACGCGTTTTCTTAGAAGTCAAGTTAGACATCTTATATAAGATTTTGTTGGTGTCTTTCAAAATAAAATTCAATGATGTTTTTTTTTGGTCAACAATACATTGGAAGTACCCCGGTTCTAGTTGTAGGACTGCTTTTCCGTTCTAAACTGTCTGAGTTCATAGACAAAGGGGTTTTATGGCTTGTCCAGTTTGTCTAAGTTGTACTTTATTGACAGTGGAGGGTGTAGCTATGCCTGCACCTGCTCTGTGGTTGACACACCTCCTCTTTTCAACTGCAATAAAGGCCTATACTGAATACACCTACTGTGTACTAAAAAGTGTCTGATCAAAATGTAACCTCGGAGTACATGAATTTATAATAATGCACTGGATATTTATTGCACCTTGTAAGATACCCAAACGTTTCACAGGCAATGTGGGAGAAGTGTCTTGCCTAGACACAACAAGAGTAACAACAAAACTTTATTCAAAGTATATTATTGACTATGTTTGCATTTATATTAAGTACAATATTTGTACATCTTTGTATTGTAGTTATGGAAATGTCCTGTCAGATACAGTCAGACAAATCAAAAGTTTATTTTCCATCTACACCAAATATAGGCTATAGTTGTCATATTTATAAAATGATGACTCTATAAATGTTTCTTTTACTATTATTAGCTATCAGTGATTAGATTTACATAGGTAGTCTTGGTTATTCCCAAAAAGTGTCTCCTTTTACATTGAAAGCCAAAACTCCATTTCTCTCTTCCTGTGCTGTGGCGGAGTCGACGGAGAAGTGAGAGAACTGCACGGATTGGGGGTTACAGAAGTAGGAGGGGGAGGAAAACTCACATCCCACTCCAGTCAGTTTGGTAGCGGCTCTTCGTTCGTTCATACAGCTCGTGCTTGCAGACCGAGGTGAGTGTTTGCGCACGATGTTCGCACAGGATTGACAAACCACACTTCTGCTCCCAAAGCGACGTGCGTGAGGCAGTCATGAGGTTTACCTGAGCCGGGCATGTAGTGAGCCGGGTTCCTGGGCGTGGGAAGCAAAGAAACAAAGTAAGCAGCTTGTCTACTTATGTGGCGTGGCGTGGGAATATTGTTTCACTAAACTTCAGTTCCATCTAATTTCCTCGACGCAAATGGACATCAATTTTTTAAACTCATCGCCTTGAAATAATTCACGAGCGGGACACCAGGATGTAGGTTAAAATAGCCTGTCTGGGAAGTATTCATTGGACACCGAGGACAAATTTCAGTCTCTTTGGGGAATATTGTGATTCCAGGAAACACAGCAGTAATCCAGAGGTAAGCGCTATCTAGTATACTAACACCGATACTGTTACTCACATGTTAGGCCCTCACAAACTGTAAGCACTTCTTGGGAAACTTCACAGACTGATGCGTAACAGAGGCGTGAGTTCTTATCAGCTCCACTTCGCCACTCAACAGAACAGCCCAACAAAATATTCGCTAAAAGTAGCCTAATGAAATCAACCTTGATAAGTGTCGTTGACATTACTATTGACATTGTTAAAAGTTTGAATAGACGTGGGCTTTGCTTTAGTCAATTTGGGCTATTTCGCTTCTTACAAGACGCGCGTCACTGAGCCAATGGGAGAGATCGCTTCACTCAGCCAGAAATCAAATATGCAAGCACAAAGCTGTGTTTCCTTAGCGGTGAAGCGGTATATGAAGTACTTAGTCAGGTGAACTTGGATTTCCTCTTAAAGTCGATTATAAAATTAACTTAACAACCAGTTGATTGAAATAAAATGAAATAGGCCTGTTAGCAGAATCGGAACATAATATTTGTTTTAATTTGATATCAAGACCAAATCTTTGTCTTTACAAAACTCCCTCATTGTCCCCAAGTTGCCCTGTTATAAATCTAAAATTATCCTGCGGTTCAACATTAATTCCAACACATTACTGAGGGCTTCGTGATGGGAAGGTAATTGTGCATGGTGTCAGTTAATGGATTAGAAGGGCTCCACACTGCACCTTGAGCTGAGGACCATAAAACCATTATCGCAGCAATGACATAGATTTGTTGTGACTAAGAGTGCTGTGGCTGTTACTCAAGTAGTACATTTTCAGTTTTCTTATTTTGTAATGTAATTCTGTAATCTGCCTTCAGTTGTGTTCACTGTAGTTTCCAAGTGAGTATAGCCTACCAATCAACCAAGACTGTTAAACATCTGGGATATTGATGTGACCACATTTATAGTAGAGAGATTGTAGCTTTGGTAAAACGGTGGTGTAACTGTTATACTAGTCAACTTTAGCCCTCTTTAGGGTGATGGGCATAAAAATAAAGCACAATACATACTGGTGATAACATAAAAAACAAAAAAAAACTGTATTGCCAGCATAATTTGAATCCCCAAAATACAATTTTAAAATATCAGAGCAGTACAGTGATATACTCAATTATTCAAAACACTGAACTGCAGTGATCTTTGACCTAAGGTAGCCTAGCCCAGACCTCCGGCTGAGCCTGATTCTGCCGGTTCCAGGTGAAGGTGCAAGTGAAACTGTGTCTGTTCAGTTGGTGCATGTACAGTTTGTCTGTTACAAACCAGTTTGAGCGGAATGCTGCTAAGCTGCTGTTAGTCATATGCTGTTTGTTTTGCACAGAGCTGAGTTGTGGAGATGGAGCCCAGATCAGACTCTAATGCTGACTTCTACTATAAAAGAAATCTTTGCATTCAATCAGGTTGCATTGTGTGGTGCTTTTTGTATCGTTTATGTCAAGATATTTCAATAGAATTGCACATAGACCATTAATGGGCAATTCATCAACAGTGTTGACTCACAACTTCATTGTTTTGTGAGTTATGTTTGTTGTTGTTTTTCTAATATTACATACAATATAGTATGCAAATGTGTAATTGTGCTTGTGTCTTTACAAAATTTCCCCAGTTCTCTTGCAAAATCTTAGTCCCATTTTCCTTAAATTTTGGTCTTTTTGATGTGTGTGTGCAGAGGACTGTGGCCCTGGTCGGTGTCTAGAACAGCATTACCTGCTTAAAACGGCAATCAAAGACTGTGAAATTGAAAAACACAATGTTAGAGATGAACAGTGTGTAACAAATGGATGTCTTGCTCTAACTACTCAATTACACTTGGAAGTCTTGCACTTCTTTTTTCACTTGCAACCTAAAAGTGCATGAATGTTTTCAGAGGGAAATTAATTGTTTATGGAATTGTACCTATATAAGACCTATATGGCCATTATGTAGCCAGAACCCCATGTCCTTTCTCTCACTGGAACCATGTGTTGGAGTAAACTGACTCTTAAGTTCACTGCACAGCTTTAACTGAATTATGTTTTGGTAAATGGAACAAGCGGGAAATAGTATTTTCCACGTTGCAGTGATTTAAAACCGGATAAGGTCAAAAGTCAAACAGCAAGGGTCAGTGGCAATAGCATGAATGCAGGCTCACAACCCACATCTTGCATGTGTAAGCCACACTTTAACATCAGCATTTTGTTCATATTATTACTTTTACTTTCATTTGTGGGGCAATTTAGTTTGCCAAAAACACTATGACTTTTTTTCAGGAGTTGCCATTTCATGGAAGAATACATTAAGAGAAAGTTGGCCGTTCTGTACAAATGTAGGCATATTGTTGAGTAGTTTTGGGCCGTTATTAGGACATAATAATGATATTTTAGCGTCAACGTGGCATGTTGTGGCTTCTTAAAAATATCAGGCATTTGTTGATAAATGAATGGGTCAAAGGTCTACTCATTTTTGTAGGCTTGTTTCTTTTCTGTCAAGAGTCTTTAGACATTTCCTTTTAGTAAATGGGAGTTTAATTCCACAACTGCATCTTAAACCCAGATGATATTTTCAGCCTAAAGGTGCACTATGTAACTTTTTGGTTTGGGATCCTTCAGCTGCTTGTTTCTATTTGATGTGATCACAGAACGTTATTACATCCAAAACATTATATATATTACTGTTCATGCAAGATCAAGTTGACAGGGATGGTTCTACACTACATTAATTAAGGTAATGATGTCCAAAATGTTTCCCCATCCTTCATGGTGTTCCTATGAAATGAAGCCTCTTAAACATTTAGTGTATTCTTGAGCCTTGTGCAGTGATATAGCAGTGTGGCGTGTGGTGGTATTTGTCCAGCTGCTAATGTGTTAGCCTCATTACGCTGCTGTGTGGAGGGTCTGAGCTGTGATTAAACAAGCCTAACACGCTGATTACCAACTTCACCGTTGATGGTGCTTGATTGTAATACACAAGCCCTGATTTGTACCGTTCACTTTGAATATGCACATGATGGTAGATCTGTTGCAGATCTTTTAAAAAAAATTATATATTTTTTCTCTTTTCACCAGTATATATATTTTTCTTTAGAGATGTTTTTCTCACTCTCAGTAAATCACTATGCCATTTTTGTGACTTTTTATTTATCCTTAATCTTGTGAGACTGAACTTTTAAATGGGTATTTTTCTTGCTGCATTATTCTACTTTATTCCATTGTTGACTTCCCAATCTCACCCAGGCAGATGTGATGGGGAATAGGTGCCACATCAAATCAGATCGCAGTGTCTACTTGATGGAACAATTTATTTAGTCTTTGTCTGAAAACTAGTTTTCCAAAACTGCCCCAATGGACAGTGTTCGTGGACGTGCATCATTTATTTGGCTTTGCTATCATATCTGCTAATGCACATGCTTTAAGGTTCTAAGCGTTCATGTGGTGATGTTCAGATGATGGATATTTGCGATCAGAATGAAAAGAAGTCTGCAGCTACGTCTCTGGTAGTCTCCATCTCCCTCGGTTAATTTAGGGTCATGTCAGTCAGTCTGTGCCGAGATGCAAGTCGTCATTCTCCAGAAAGACAGAGTAATCATTACACGAATAAAGGGCCGCCACATGCTTTGTAAAGAATAAAACATAAAAAGACAGATACAAAAAAGGACCAGGGGAGGAGGGCTACAATGGCTAATTATTCAAGCCTACGTTTTCTATTTCCATTTGATTTCATACAATGCCATTAATTACTTGCTATTCTAGTTTCTTTGGGCCATTGTGAGAGCGTATTACAAAGGGCTGGAGGTTCACTGTCCACAATGGATGCACATTGAAGCAGCTTCACAATGTTTTTCACAAAATTTTAAAAGGGCTTTTATCAGAAGACTAGAAACTCAGACAATGTTGTATGTATATTTTATTGTTAATGTCATTAGCTTTGACATGAGAAGCAGTATATTTTTCTCTCTCTTACTTCAGACTGGTGCTGAAAAAAATATGGAGCTTTACTTTTATTCTTTAACCAAACTGCTGTAAGAGAGAGTATTAATTAATCAAACTGTAATGGGCAAGGTTATTGCTGCTTACTTTGTAATTGCATCACCAATATTTTTGTTATTTTTGTAGTGCTTTTTAAAGGGAACACTTTTTAGACCTTATGTTGCTTAAAATGCGGGTCTATGGGTCTGTGTATAAAAATATTTTTTTAAGAGACGTTCAAAGTTTATGTTTGGATTGGTCACAGTAGCAGCTGTGTGTGTATGTGTCCTTGCTCATTGTTTATTCAGAAGGGTCAATGGGATAAAGGTGAAGCTCACTAAATAAAAATAAAAAACAAAAAGCAGAAAAAAAGTCATTAAATTATCAACCTAGTATTACTTTTGCATGAGATAAAGATTTTTTTTAAACTTTTATTAACACTGAAACAACTTGATGCTTGATCGGGGATGTCCATTGTGGCTTTGAGTAATTTTATTTAATTTAATTGTATTTCTTTAAAATATAGTTTAACTATGTATAAATTAAATAATTTACATTGTTATAGAGAAGTCATTTGCATAGTCTTTGTTATTTGACATTCAAACCATGTGTTAAGGTCACTGCGTGTCACTGCTCAGGTGATGGGTTTGTGTGCTCTATAATTAAAGCCACTTTTTATCCACTGAACAGTTTGTTGACAGTATCATGTCTGTCATCTGGAGCTGTTCGTCAGGTGGAAGTGACAGAAGAGCCAGGAAGGGCAAGGTGGGACTTGCTACACTCTCTAATATTAAGC